AAAATAATATTACACGTAAATCGCACACTTTTCCTTATTTTTTAACCACATATTCTCCAAAAAAAAATAACTATTCCAAAATACATTTTTCCCAAAATTACATTTTAATGGAGCCCAAACAAGAGCTAAATAAAAAGAAACATCTTGTTGTCACTCACATGTGCATGATGAAAATAGTCAAATTTTCTGTCACACAATTTTAAGGCCCCAAACAAAGGCTAAATAAAAAGAAATATCTTGTTGTCACTCACATGTGCGTGATGAAAATAGTCAAATTTTCTGTCACACAATTTTAAGGCCCGTTTGGTGCCCATTTTTTTTCAAAATACATTTTTCTCTCTATTATTTTCAACCACTGATTTTTTATTAAAATAATATTACACGTAAATCTAAAAAATTTCCTTGTTTTTCAACCACACGTTTTCCATCAATTTACTATTCTAAAATGCATTTTTACATAAAAATGGGTCTCAAACACCTTCTTAAAAGTCAAAGAACGGAATAACATGCAAGGACAAACAACTGCCTTACCCTTCGTAATCTGAAGCAATATCAGGTAATTTGTCTCTACTAATTTGAGCAAGATAACTCCTCAAAAAGAGCCCACGTATGGGATGCTGAACACCGCGACACATTTCAACAAGATCTTTAAGAACATCCTTAGCAGGAGTCTCTTTCGATTTTATATAAATAGAACCAACTGTACACAGGAGATACCTAATATAATGACAAAACAAAATATTATGTATCTTAGAAGCCTCTATATTTTGGAAATAACATATTCAATTGTACAATAACTAAAAAATAGATTCAATTATATAGCCTAAAATTACACACACAAAATAGTAAGTGGAAGAAAATCAAACAAATTAAACACTAAAAATTCAAAACAAATTGCATAAGGTGGGTCATTAAATTTTCAGGGCATTTGTACTATACTAGTAACAAGGATCAGCAACTCTAAAATCCAATGGGCTCAAGAAAAAAAATACCTAGAGAATTTGGATAAAAATCCAATTGAGGCTTGCCTCAAAGTGAGGAGATCAACAAAGACCTCAAGGTGCTAATCGTGAAACAGTGTTTGGAGACGCACGCCTCAGTTGAGTGAGGCACATGCCTCAAGGCTTCTGAAGCGTACACTCCTCAATTCTCTAGAGTTGTTTTGCTTTGGTGTGGCCCACCAAACATTAAAAATTATAATTGACTCACTTTGGGAATAGCCCCTCTTATCAACATATCTTGGTTCGGGTGCTCTTTCTTCCTGAGTGGATTAGCTATTTATTAAAATATTTAAAAAAATATATGTTTTCTGAATATCCCACATTCGGAATCAAATATTATTAGAACATTAGAAAATTGTGTTTATCGTGGACCCACTTTGGGAATAGTCTGCTGCCTCACTAACTAAAGTAATTGTTCCTTCTGCTTCATAGTTTTTAATTTTATTTGTTTGCATATTTTAAATTATTCTATTATAAATTTTTAAGATTGTTAATAATTTGTTATAGGCACATTTTACATAATAATTTTTTGACATTTTTGTATTATGGAGAGGATTAGGCCTCAAAACGCCTCATTTCACAAAGGAAAAATGCCTCAGCACTCAATTACGCCCTTTTAAACATTGATCTGGAGTTTGAAATTAAGATTAGGCAATTAACAAAGTCTGCTTAACCGTGTAAGCAGCTGTCGTATGTATGATACATCTCACGAATATAAAGATTTTAATAAATGCAGTCAGTATGGCAAACGCCTTCATGGATATAACTAAGATCTATGATTGCATAGAGAGTGTGGTCACCACAAAACAGCGCTCCAGCATAATCAGAGAAATGAATCTTGTAATATAAGATGACATTAAATTATTAACTATGCAAAGAAAAGGCGAAGCAAGCAACAATAAAAACTGTAGCAACTTAAATTTACTACCCAAATTCATGAGACTTACAGTCGAGGCAAAATGTTTCCAGCATGTTGAACAAGTTCATATAGATCAACCACTGGACAACCGTGCCTGTTTTCATCCTTGAAGAACATTTCCAGCCTCCTCAATTCATCAAAAGCGCGCATATCTAATCCATAAATGATAAAAGCAAACAGTACAAAAAATAAACACAGTTACTCTAAATAATAAGATATGACCACCGGGAGATTTTGGATCCAGGAATCTTACAGAGCTCATAATATTTGTGAGGCGAGAGCCTCGAAGTTCGAAGCTCAGACAACAACTGCGCTGAGTATTTGAGGGCTTCTCTCAGATTATTCGAATCCTGAATTTTATCAAAAACATACAAATTAAACTTACAATTAATTTGAGAATCTAGGGCTCTGAGAATTAAAATTTAAAATTACCAAAGCGCGATGCAAATAAAATGCACTGTGTTGAATTCCAGCGATGCCTTCGGCGAGCCATTTGTCCTCATCTTCAATTCCGTTTGCTATCAACATTTTTTCTTGTTCTCTCTCTCGAGTGACATCGACTGAACTGACTTCCTCTTTAACCTGGAATAATGAGGAAATAGGAATAGAATTTAAAAAATAAGAAATACATTATTCCGATCATTTCAACCCTCATATTCTTCAATAAAATAATATTAAACATATATTCAAAAAATTTATTTATTTTTTAACCACGTATTTCTTATCAATGGGGCCTATTTGAAAACGATTTTTTCCTTCAAAAAATTGATTTTTTTGACCGTTATTTCATTATTCCATTATTCCAGCCGTCAAATTTGATTTCTTCTCTCACGATGGACCCCACTTTTCTCCTAACGATCAAAAAATCAGTTCTCAAAATCACTGTCAAATAGGCTCATGCATTATTTTAAAATGTAATCTTATAGAAATAATGTGGCTCAAATAAGGGCGTAATGTCTTGTTTCTTGTTTCGAATCCAGGGTCAAACTGTTTTTTCTTTTTAATTTCTGTTTTTTACCAAAAAAAAAAATGATCATTTCAACCCTCATATTCTTCAATAAAATAATATTAAACATATATTCAAAAAATTTATTTATTTTTTAACCACGTATTTCTTATCAATGGGGCCTATTTGGAAACGATTTTTTCCTTCAAAAAATTGATTTTTTTGACCGTTATTTCATTATTCCATTATTCCAGCCGTCAAATTTGATTTCTTCTCTCACGGTGGGCCCCACTTTTCTCCTAACGATCAAAAAATCAGTTCTCAAAATCACTGTCAAATAGGCTCATGCATTATTTTAAAATGTAATCTTATAGAAATAATGTGGCTCAAATAGGGGCGTAATGTCTTGTTTCTTGTTTCGAATCCAGGGTCAAACTGTTTTTTCTTTTTAATTTCTGTTTTTTACCAAAAAAAAAACACGAAAAAGTTAGCTTTCTTTATAAACTTTTAAACACTTTTTATAAAATTATTTAAACATATTAAAGAAGATTTTAGTCTCAAAACTTTTTTGATTTTCTAAATATCATATCAAATCAACCATACATGCACCTTTCGACACATATGGTTCAAAAAATAATTACGAAAAACAAAAAAATCAATGTATAAATTCAATTAGAAATGCTAGTCGCTTGTTCCGCTGCTCAGCTACCTTCACAAATAGGTAAAGTGACTTTTTATCCATTTAGGAATTAGAACACTAGGGCCTAGTAATAATGAGAATGAATTTTTTGACCATTAAAGGAAAAGTGGGTTCCACCTGTAAGAGAAGAAGTAAAAAATAACGACTTAAATAATGAAATAACGTTCAAAAATTAATTTTTTGATAAAAAATTACTACCAAACAATGACAAAATGATAACACGTGGAATTCAAATATATAATAAGGAAACTTAGTGACTGTTGCTGTCCTATTTACATGTTAAATATAAAGAATTAGTTACGGTGCGCTTGATTGTCGATATTTTATATGAAAAATATTTTTATATCAAAATTCCTACTTTTCTTCTGTCTGATTAATTTTTTTCATGAAAAATATTTTCTTACTTTTTATTTTCTTACTTTTGGTAACGCGACCATATTCTCCTACAAAGAAAATATTTTTTTAAGGAGAGTGATTTTATTTTTCAATCAATTTACTTTCTTTATCATCTACACCTCTCTCTCATCTACATAACAATAAAATATGGACAAATATGATATTTTTTTGAACCTGGTTACATGTACATCAAATTTTACATAATGAATTATATAAATGTCACGTGTCGTTCTATCATTTATCAATTTAAAATACAATCAGTATTTTCATCAAGTATTTTCCCACCACATCATTTTATGTAATTCTTATGTTCAATTTTTATGTACAAGTAACATAATTCACATTTTTATATTGAAAAGTAAACCAATCAAACATATTTAATTAATAAATTTTGCTTCTAAATTTTAGAATATGCATTTTTTAAATAGACATTCTTTTAGAAATGCTCTCAGAGTGTTTGAGCCCCATTTTTAGAGAAAATTGTACTTTGAAATAGTAAATTAACGAAAAATGTGTGGTTAAAAAATAAAAAAATTAAGTTTGTGTGTAATATTATTTTATTGAAAAATGCGTAACTGAAAAGAATAGAAAAAAATATGTTTTAAAAATAATGGGGGATCAAACAAGGGCTAGTAAGTCTTGTGTGTTGAATATCGGGCCATGTAAACTTTTGCAAGAGTTTGTTTAAGCCTCATTTTTTTATTTTTTTTTGAAGAATAAATTTTATAATAGTGGTTTATTTGCCAATGAAATCGATAGAAATTTTTAGAATATGTTTGATTCCCATTTTTTTTAAATTTATGTTTTTCTGTTGTTTTCGATCACATATTTTTCAATAAAATAATATTATATGTAAATTCAAAAATCTTCTTTATTTTTTAACCACATATTTTCTCTTGATGTATTATTTTAAAATGCATTTTTCCAATTTAATGGGATCAAATAAGTCCCTTAACTCAAGTGTAAAATCATATTATCAGGATAATTTGTGATTAAAAATGGGAAAAGCTCAAGGCTAATCAATTTTCAGAGCACGCTCTTAAGTAGGCCAACTCTTCATTGACAAGTTTTTCTACTTGCTTCCGCCACCGTCACTCTCTCCCTCCACCAGACACGGCCAGTAACAAAAACGTACACGGCGCCCCCACGCCGACATACCTTCTCATCTTCCCTTGTTACCGGAGAATTCTTTTCCTCCTTAAATTTTCTTCTCTTCCCTCTACTTCCCTAATTTCACTTTTTATCTTCTATACACGTATATATACACCTTTTATTTACATTTTTACAATATTTTATCTACTTCATTTTTTTCATTTTCGATTTATATTTTTCTTCTTCATCATTAATTTTCTGGGATTTGCATATAATTGTAAGTTAATCGTAAATGAAAAGGTATCATCCAATTATGATTAGGGTGTTTTTATTGATTTGCAAAATCCACTGGGTTCCGTTTCATCAATGGTAATCAACGACGACATGCATCCGCCTCCAGCTCCACCGCCACCTTCCGATCCAAAAAATAAAAATTCAAATTCAAGGTCCGCCGTGACGCACAACGGGGCAACGGGCAACAACCACCACAAACGAAACCAACATAGCCCCGAGCTACAGCAAGTGAAGATTAATGATATAGTGGGTAATGGGATTTGTGGGCTTCTGTATAAATGGGTTAATTATGGAAAAGGGTGGAGGCCTAGATGGTTTGTTTTACAGGATGGAGTGTTGAGTTACTACAAGGTCCATGGTCCTGACAAGATTGTGATCAATCAGGAGACTGAGAAGGGATCGAGAGTGATTGGAGAAGAGTGGATTAAACGGATTTTGCGGCATCACCGGCACCATCATCATAAGCATGGTGGCAATGGTGGTTCCTCTTCGAAAAGCCGGAAGCCCTTTGGCGAAGTCCATCTAAAGGTTTTACTTTTCCAATTTAGTTGTATCAAAAATTTTCAAGAAATTTACAGTATGAGTTGTTTGTTTTGTGAATGATCGGTTTAATTGGATATAGACAGGTCAATTAATTGTCTTGAGTGTTATTTTTAATCATTCTTTGAATTCCGGAAAGGCCGTTCCTGTATTAAGTTTGGGTCTTTTGAAGAAGTAGAAATTGTGCCTGAACTGAAATCTGATTAACATAAACTGAATTTGGTTATGGTTCATCAGATTACGTTGTTTTAGTTAATCATGACTTGGTTAAAAAGACAGTCTATTTTTCTATGTTCTTTTTTCATGTGTCGTCTTCATAAACTTGATAATTAGTTATGTTCCTTGTTCCAATGGTATGTATATTTAGCATTACTTGAAAGGAATGTGATTTATGTTGGTTTAATCAATATGTTCATAACTCGTGATCCACGCATGCTCTCTTCTGGTTGTTTATGCAATATTCTTTTACTTACAATTGTGTTTAGTATGAGTGCGTGTAGCAGTGAACTTCTAATAAAATGATTACATGAATTGTTTGATCTTTTACGATTTGAGTAGTTTTCTATAGGTTTCAACTATTCAGGAAAGCCATTCTGATGATAAGAGATTCTCCATTTTTACTGGAACAAAGAGGCTGCATCTGAGGGCAGAGAGCAGAGAGGACCGAATGGCATGGATGGAAGCATTGCAGGTAGTTAAGGATATCTTCCCGAGAATGTCCAACAGTGAATTGATGGCTCCATTGGACAATGTAGCTGTCTCAACAGAAAAGTTGAGGCAGCGTTTGTTGGAAGAACGCGTGAATGAGTCTGCCATCCAGGACATCGAACAAATCATGAAGGATGAGTTTGCATCTCTGCAGAATCAATTGATGTTGTTGAAGCAGAAGCATTGGCTCCTCATGGAGTCACTCCGACAGTTAGAGGTACGTGTTATGAGTAGTAAATAAGTTGTTACGAATCAAATTCAGAATATTTCTTCAGTTCGTTCTCCATGGAATTCTGCACGGTAAGTTCCTTCAGCTTTCCCTAGGCTTATGGCTTGGTAGGTTGGGTCAGTCAGTTACTTGTTTCTTTTGTGCTTTGTGAAGCAGTTACTTGTTTCTTTTTGTGCTTAAATTGATTGCTTGATTTGAAATAGTTATTTAAGATTATTGTACTCATTACCATGCATTTTAATTTAATAAAGATAGATGACTGTCCCTTTTTCTTTCTAATGGCTTTGTTAAAGAGATAATAGTGTTATAAGGAGTTATATTTAGATCAGATGTCCATTAGGCATCATTTGGAAAATTTCTGGCATGGGCTCATTTTGCATAAGATCATTGAAATCATTTTCTCTGGAATAGCTGATTAATATCTACTATTTGAATGGTGAAACTAGAAATAGATGCGTGTTTGATATGGGATTTAGCTTTCCACATGTTCCTATGCAAACTGTGGCTACCCTGCAGCAAGGTGCCTGTGTATTTCGTTTTGGCATGCTCTATGTTGTTCTCTATAGAGATACTTGAAAGGATGCAGACAAGACAAGAAGTTTGTTTTGTAGAATGCCAGCTTCACTGGTATTGACATTCATGCATTGAATGAATAATGTTTAGTGGGTGCTTTATGCTGTATATGCCTCCTAAAGAAAGTAAATAGAGACAAAGTTCTATTTATTCCATTGCCTATTTTAGCCGGATCAGTTTGTCCTAATCTAAGATGAGATCATCTTGATAGTTAAAAAGTTTAACTAGGAACTAATTCCTAGTTTGGCATATTCTGATCTTTTACAACGATGGTTGGCCTTGTGTCATTCAATCCTAGGTGATTAAGAATTGGTCTGGTAGTTGTGCTTTGACTCTATCCTGTTTTAGCCCTTTTTTTGTGGGAGAGAGTATATGAAAGTGATTTTTTTGGAGAACGTGTGATTGAAAATGAGTGAATAAAAGTGATTTTGAAAAATCACTTTCGCACAAGCACTTACTTTGGAAGAGACAAATATAATGTTGATATCAAGAGTCTTATCCTCCCCAAGACTAGTCATTCCTCAGTGATGTGCCACTGAGATGGGATAAGTTTAACATAAAATTATGCCTCGCCTTTGCTTTTAAGGAAACTCATCATGTCTGCCTTTTTTTCCTGTTGTACAAATTTTGCAGGTAAGTTTCTAAGTAGTTTAATTAAATTTTCACTTGTTCTGGCTTATTTTCCTCCACTATAACTTTTGGCTTCTCTCGTTAAAGTTTCTTCTTCGGTCTGGACTTTGGAGAAAGAACTGAATTATAGCTTAACAAAGTCTATGCTGTTAATTTGTTACTGAAGCCACAATATGATATTAGAAAATTTTGGTTGGTCTGTGGATCCTGATTATATTATGTTCTATGTGAGGATTGAGGTCCTGATGATGGTTCGTGTTGTTCATCACATTATCTTAGCACATAAATTTTTCATTTTTTTGCCAGCGGCAGATAGGTATATACATATCTGTTTCGTATTTTGGTATCTGTCAATGTGCGCAATGGTTCTCATATTTAATGTGATAATTTTAAAATAGTGCTACAACAATTTTAAGGTTGGCCCATGCTATTTTTTGGAAATTGAAATTCCCTGCCCTCTCCTCTTCTTTTTTGTTTTGTCACAAGGCCCAAATTTTTCATTATTCAGTTATAAACTTTTGTAAAATAGTCCCTAGCATCCATCTTTATTGATCTTAATTGTAGTATCGTTAACTTTTTTAGTTCATGAGAATAAAAAAATGAAATTCCTTCCTTGATTGTAAAATGTCCTTTGCTCCTTTTCTTTCTGCAAGTATTCATATATTTAACATGTCAGCACTCAGCTGTATGGAGTTTATATTTAATGAGAAATTTGTTACTACTTTATTCTGTTTTTTATAAAAAAGAAGTGATATTCTACCTTGAGTCCTACTCAAAATCCTTAGAACTGGACTTACCATTTTCACGACTACACCGGTGCCTAAAAGATAGACCTTTCGAATGTTTCCTTTATTTCTGGTTGCCTGACGTGTTTAGCTAAGAGATTGTTATTATGCTATTTTTTTTCCAGACAGAAAAGGTGGATCTGGAGAATACAGTTGTTGATGAAAGCCAAAGACAGTTCAAAGAAGTTGGGTCATCCACTGGATCAACGCTAGACAAATCAAGCGGTATGCTTCACCAGTATATTTTATTCATTTTTGGACAAGATGATTGGTTAGAAATGCTGCAGAGTAGGTTTTACTTATGTTTTGCCTACATGATTATGTGGGTAACATAGTGTTGTTTAAGTTTCAAGCATTCACCTATCAGTTGCTTGCTGTTATCTTTTTCAAGTTGTTTGTTAAATGAAGAAAAAGTCAGTGTACTTGACTAGTAATGCCAAATTTTCTAGATTTTATCATCCAAATGATGAAATATTTGATAGTCATAGCTTCATTATTTCAATTATTGGAAATGGATCATTGAAGATTTATCAGAAATCCACATTATTTTTGGGTTATTTGATGCTGTGTTTTTAAATTCGAATTATTTTCAAATTTCATTAACCAGCGAGTCCAAGTGAATCTGAAGATGATAATGAAAGAGTTGATGCACCAGAGGAAGATACAGATGAAGAAGACAATACTTTCTTTGACACCAGGGATTTTCTTTCATCAAGCTCTTTTAAAAGCAATGGGTCCGACCTCAGGACGTCATCATTTTCATCTGATGACAACGATCTTTATGCATTTGAAGTTGATGATTGTAATGAGAGCGCTGTTGTATCTGCCAGAGCTAACTTCCCTCTTGTGAAGCGTCGGAAGAAATTGCCAGACCCAGTTGAGAAAGAGAAAGGAGTGAGTTTATGGTCAATGATCAAAGATAATATTGGGAAGGACCTCACAAAAGTGTGTCTTCCTGTCTACTTTAATGAGCCACTCTCTTCTCTTCAAAAGTGTTTTGAAGATTTGGAATATTCATATCTGATTGATCGAGCTTATGAATGGGGAAAGATGGTAAGTTTACAGTAAAATTATTATTGGTTATGATTCATGTGCGTTGGTGCCACACCGGCTTTCGCCAGATAATGTTCCACTCTAGTCGTAGCAGAATAACTTGACTAGATTATTTTCAAGAATTTTGCCACTTTTCTTGTTTTGCAGTGGTTTCATTTTAGTTGGTATTTTACTGGTGCTTTTTACTGATATTAATGTATTTATACGTCCCCCAGATATTTGGTGGATATTGATTTGCAGACATTGAAGAGTCTCCTGCTGCATGCCCCCGCACCCCCACCCCCACCCCCCAACACCAAACTACGAAAATGTTAAAAATGAAGAAATATGGGAAGTGGAAACCATACAATTGAGAAAGAAGAAAAAAATATTGGGGTGGATTAAGAAAGTAATGGGAAGAAAAGGTCTATGCACTTTAATCATGCTGTGTTGCTGTAGCTCCTATGTAACTCTTAGGGATGCCAATTTGACCCGAAACACCTGAGTCCGACCATGCGTCACTGCATCCTTCCCGTCCCATTATCTATTTATTTAAAAATGCATTAAAAAAAAAAAAAAAAAAAAAAAAAAAAAAAAAAAAACCTTTAGCCTAGCCTTCTTATGCTAGATGACTCAAGCCCATTAGCCCAATTCCCAAATTACCCTAAAATTTACAGAAAACTAAATATAAAAAATATAAATGGGGCACTAAATGAGGCAAGGGATTCCCCATGCCACCTTAAGCAGGGATTGGGACGATAAAATCACCGGTGGAGTGGGTATGGGGGCACCCCGCTCCGTCGCCATCCCTACTATAGATAATTAAATCTTACTTGAGCAAGATAGGTCATGATATGATCTATGTTAGTATGTTTGCAACTTATACTAATGGAATGTATAGAATCACAACTTTGTATACTTGGAAGTTAAAATTTTATGAACCACAATCCAGTTTGTAAATCCTGTGTGTAAAAGAATTGACATTTCCTTGAATAGGATATAAAAAAGTTGAACTTGGGATAAGCAACTGTTTTGGATGGCCTTTTTTATTTCTTCTTTTCTTGGGCTTCCTCCTTTTATTGCGATTAGTGAGAGGGAAAAGAGAGAACAACGTATAATGAAGTGTAGTTTAAATATGCTTGTTTTTCTTCTCAAACTTGTTGTTTGTATAGTGATAACGGGGCATATGAGGAAATTGGGGACTAGGGGCTTGGAACTTGGGTCAAGTACACAATGATATACCCAATCTCATCATTCAATCTTATTTCTTAGTACACCACCTCCTAAGAGAGAAACGAGTACCTTTCGGCTAAAAGGTGGGGGACCTCGCAAACATGTGGGAATGGGAGCATTACCTTTTTTTTTTTTTGATAGGTAAAGGAATGGGGGCATTACAGCTATAGTGTTGTCTTTCTAGCCAGACTAAGTTGTTCTTCAAATCTTGTGGTGCTTCACAAGATATGTTGTTCATCTATTTAGTCTTTCCAATTATGTGTTCGTCTAATTTTTTTTCAAGGTCCTTATCATTAAATTCTTTTTCCTAGGAATTTGACTATTCAATAATTCGTTGTCATGAATTACTTCATGTTATTTGCTGGCCATAAATTGTCATTTAAGCCAAGTAAAGTTCGCAATATTTTGAAAAAATTTGTGCTAAGCTTCTCGTGTAAGCAAAGCACTAGAATCTAAATATTAAGCTCTTGTTTGTTACTGGTTAAAATTCAGATTTTAATTAAAGTTAAAGTCAACAATCAATTTTAACCACTTATTTTATGGGTCCCACAACTTTTCAACCACCCATTCCATCAATTTTTATCAAAATCTACTAAAAATCTGATTTTAATCCCTACCAAACATGGACTAAATGTTTTGAGTTGCCATTTTTAGTACCTGATGTGCACTATATTCCAAAGTTTTCCAACTAATCTGGTTTGTGAAATCTTTGTAGGGTAACAGCCTTATGAGGATTCTAAATGTAGCTGCATTTGCCGTATCTGGATATGCTTCAACTGAAGGAAGAATTTGCAAACCATTTAATCCTTTGTTAGGGGAGACTTATGAAGCTGATTATCCCGATAAAGGCCTTCGATTTTTCTCAGAGAAGGTTTCATTTTATTACCTGAGGCAGTGCAATCTTTCTGTTTTCCATATTTTATTGTTTATGTATCCATAATCTCTAACATCATTTTCGTTGGGACCAGGTGAGTCATCACCCAATGATTCTAGCATGCCATTGCGAAGGAACAGGCTGGAGATTTTACGGTGATAGCAATTTAAAAAGCAAATTTTGGGGGCGGTCTATCCAGCTTGATCCAGTTGGTATTTTAACAATTGAATTTGATGATGGAGAAGTTTTCCGGTGGAGTAAGGTACCATCCCAAATACTTGAAAATTTCTGTTCTTTGTATTGTTTCATGGAAAAGTGTGTACCTCTTTGTGACAGGTGACAACATCTATATACAACCTGATTCTTGGGAAACTATATTGCGATCACTATGGTTCAATGCGGATACAAGGAAATGGTGATTATTCGTGTAGTCTAAAATTCAAGGAGCGGTCTATCATGGACAGGAATCCTCATCAGGTTTTCTCCTTCTCTTTGTTATTTCCTTGTAGACGTCAAAATAGATGTTTTTTCAGGCTTTTGATAGCAGTTAAAACTATTGGGAAAGATTTTAATTTTTGTTGCTTGCTAGATAATTTCGAGGAGCCTTATCCATCCATCCAATGTCTAGCTGTTTATATAATTTGTTAGAATCTCTGACATGAAATAATTGGACTTTTGCAGGTAAAAGGAACAGTCCAGGATAAGTCTGGAAAGACAGTAGCAACTTTATTTGGAAAATGGGATGAGAGCATGCATTATGTCAATGGAGACTGCTTGTCAAAAGGGAAAGCTGAATCTTTGTCAGAAGCTCATTTGCTCTGGAAACGTAGCAGGCCTCCTAAATTCCCTACGCGATATAATTTGACACGCTTTGCCATTACACTGAATGAGCTCACTCCAGAGCTGAAGGTGATCTTTACATTAATTAATTTTATATCTTAATTGGTACCTGTCCATTTGATGATTATACTCTTAATTCATTATCGAACTGTTTTTTGAAATGATTATCAACCTTTTCCACACTTAAGACATTCTTTTTCTTTAATTCCATATTCTTGTTGGAAATGCCGGCTTGTTTGCTTCATGGATGAGGCAGGATTGACTACTGCTCCTGCCATATCCTTATTTTTGGTGCGGAATCCACACACAGTTCAGTATGCTATCCCAAGGGGATCTGGTTATGTTAGTCCGACAACTAGGATTGGTAAAACTGTACTTGAAATGACATTTTAACCTTGCGTATTTTATGAAATTATAGTGGCTAGTTCCTCACTACACAATCCCAAGAGTGAGGAAGGGGTTTTTTTGATCCAACAACTAAGATTATCAGTTCCATGCATATTTTATGAAATTCCACATCACCCTCTTAACTATATTCCTTTGTTTCTACCCGATTTCTCCTCCCTTTCCGTATACCCATATTCCCTGATCATCTTCCAGTCACCCTCACCTCCACCAAAACTTCACTACCACTCATTCCTTACTGTTGCTGAATTTCCACATCCGCTACCTTCAACTGTTTTTATCATTCTCTCACCGCCTTTCCTTGCATCTCCCTCCTTCCACTCTTCTCGTCCTTGAGCCATACGCCATCTCGCAAACTTTCTTAATGATCATGCCATGTACACCAACTGAATCACAAGCCCAGATCTGGATGTGCATGTGCGTTTTGGACAATCAAAAATTTGTTCAAGAAGGAATGCTTCTCAGACCAAGTGGATGGATTTATTAGTGTGGTATCTGCGTAGTTATCTTTTCTGAGAGAAGTGAAAAGTTCCAGACGTATAGATAATAGGGAGCAGACGTACATCGTAACACAGAAACAGGGAAGAGAGAGAGAAGAAATACAGAGATAGGGAATAGAAAGAGGAAATGGGAGAAGAGTTTAGGGGGAAGATTATTCAATCATTAGTCAAAGTCTACTAAATAATAAAATTCTACAGCAACATCTCCATGACTCCACATAACAAGCCCAAATTCACAATACCCCAGCGACTCCCATAACCTTAGTACCCAACTACAAAGAAAAGTACACCAGAACCCTTGCCTATAATAAAACCCAGCCGAATCCCACAACCCAAATCAGATAGCAACCCACCTTATTTGGTAGACTCTGATTAATGATTGAATATTAATATTTCTTTCCCCTTAAATTCTTCTCCCATTTCTTCTCTCTCTTCCCTATTTCTGTATTTCTTCTCTTTCTCTGCCCTATTTCTGTTTTACATTCTATGTGAGGAGCTTAATCATAGTCCTCATTTGGCAGTGAGGACAGGAGCATGGAGAAAGACTGGTGAAGTATTCTGGTGCTTTTTTTAAGGGGTAAATTGATGGGAGGTAGTTGGAGGGCAACATGAAATAAGAATTTTAATTTTCAGTCGATGATTTATCTTGGAGAAACCATACATAGGATGTTTGAAACAACACGAAGATTTCAAAATGAAAAAAAGGAATGGTCACCACAGATAATGCTCAAAATGATCTCATCACATCATTTCCTCGAAAATATAGAATGTTTAGCTGTATTATCATGTTTTGAATCAAATTATGCACCTGTGATTACTAATTTTGACTTACTCACTACTGATATCATTAGCCTTTCATGGATATACATCAGAATCTGTGCGATTGCAGTGATGAATTCTTTTGGTCATAGAACTCTTTACCGGCTGGAATAATTATTAATTGTCTTAAGATCAACTTTTGCAGGAAATGCTTCCCCCGACTGATTCGAGACTGAGACCTGACCAGAGGTGCCTGGAGAATGGGGAATATGAAATGGCAAATGCTGAGAAGTTGCGACTAGAACAGCGGCAGCGGGAGGTAACTGGATTGATTTTGTTTTAGAATCATTTAGCCGAATCATTCACTAAATTATATGCATAAGAAGTATTTTAAGTGATATGCAATCCAACAGCTGGTCAATTCAAGGAATTTTCAAAGTTTCCCCTTTGGTACTTCTGTTCCTAGTATTATATTCAAACTCATATCCCTTCAAGGAACAGGACATTGATTATATATACACAAAACATTCTATTTACGGTGACTTCTAACTTCTACATGGTCACTTGTCCATGTACGGGTCGTATAGTGTTGTGTCAGACCTTGACATGGAGCCCGCCAAGCCACGTCCTATTATTTATATATTTTTTGAATTTCTAAATTCTGAAACTTGAGGGATATTGTATGGACATTCCTCCAGCAAGTGTTCGACATGGCATGTGTTGTGTCTTATATTAAAAAGTATAAAAATATAGATAGAATATATAAATATAAATTTTTTAAAGAATTTAAATTGATGTCTCAATGTCATACTTTTTAGAAAAATCATGTGTCATTGTTCATGTCTTGTTGCGTCATGTCCATGATTCTTAGCATACATGTTACTAAATAGAGTCCATTCTCATCCGGTTGGACCAGAAAACCCTGGTAATCTACATATAATTCTTTATCTTGATCCTTTAATTGCTTGCATGAACATTGTTTTTGGGATTTCATATATTTTGAGGGTGAAACCAGTTGACATATTGCCCGTTGATAATTATCTGATGGTCTTTGGAAACCAGGCGCACAGGATGCAAGAGAGAGGTTGGAAGCCACAGTGGTTTGCAAAGGACCAAAAGACTGATAACTTTCGCTATATTGGCGGTTATTGGGAAGCAAGAGAGCAGAGAAACTGGGAATCATGCCCTCATATTTTTGGTGAAATAACCTCTGATCAGACTTGAGAAAATGTGAGTTTTATCTTTGTTTTCACTATTCCGTATTTCTACCGAGGAAAATTCGGCTGGGCTCGATTAGTAGTCAGGTCGATAACGTGCATATATAATAGGAAAAGCTATTAAGTTCTTTTGGTCAAATGAAAGAGCAACCTTTATATGAATCTTATTTTTTAATATTGAAATCATAAGGTTATATTATTTTGATGTATCTAATAAATCGGAGTTCTGTGGAAGGCATTCGTGCTGCACCTTGTAGATGGAAGAACAAACGAACGAGATAAGGTCGGAGGAATAATTGCCTACTCCGACTTTTTGAAGAAATCCGACTCATTATGCTGCATCTCTCTTTTTGTTTAGGATAATAACTACGTATACTTTTGAAGAAATTATGGCTCATCTTGCTGCATCTCTTTCTAGGCCAAGATGGAGGCACGGCATTAAAAATTACAGAATGGGATTATAAACCTGGGTTGTTCCAAAGGTACGTGTTTTGGGTAACTGAATGGAATGGTACTGTGCGGGATTGAAGAGGTGCGTGTTCAAAGGTCTCTTGAGTCATTATATTGAATAGCACGAGGCAAGATTGAAAAGTAATCGAGGTATATAACAAAATTTCTCAATTGTTCTGTCAGTATAATGTCTCGTCATTTAATCGAGAAAACAATAGTCTAATTATTTTCTCTCATTCGTTAATACTCCACAATGTACCTAATCGAACAAATCATTATTCATTGACAGAACTTAGTGACAAACATGTCTAAATTAACTTGGGATATTTTAACGTAACTATTTAAAATTGCCTCATTTTTTTATTTTTTTATTTTTTTTTAATCTTCCCCTCCAAATAGTTTGTACTTGTAAATTAGACAGGTCGAACCGTTCTCGTCGAAGATATGGAAAGTAATATTTTATGAGTATATCTATTCTTGATACACTTAATCTTCATTAGATTAATAACAAGAAGTAATAAAACACGACTATTTATATGATATTCAATTGACAAATTTAAATAGTACTAAGAAAGAAAAAGCTAAAATTTTATTTATCTTCTGCAATATTGTCAACGTACGTAAAATTACATAATTCATAAGGAATTTTGATTCCTATGGCATTGTGGCATGACCAAATGAAACCATAATGGAGTTAGAAATCGCATCAATGAGTTCATTAAAAGAGCGGCAATTGAATTAATTTTAAATGGTCATAAAGGGTTAGTTTGCATAGAATTTATAATCCTGCGGCGCCGCCCTTCATCACCACTAGGTGGCGGGGCAACGTAAAGAATGGACGAGTCCAGGAAATTCTAATGGCTTGTGTTTTTTCTTTAATAAATCTAGAACAGTCAAGCTTGTCGTACATTTTATGTGACATCTTTCTTGAGTCTGTCACATGACATTTTATTATTTGACAGTTTCAAAAAGTAGTTGTCTTTTCATCCAATACATTTTTATGTTGGCAAAGTGGTAAGACTTAAAGTACAAGTCGCAAAATTCAATCTAGAAAGTTAGTTATGAACTCACTATCAAAGGTGAATTTAGTTGTTTAAATTTCGTATGAGTTTTATATTTTTTTTTTATGTAATAAGTTTAATAACAATTTGTTTCGAATTTGCTATTACACTTGTCGTACGAATACGAGTGCAAGACTTGAACATCCTTCTTTTCAAGTATAGAGTTAAAAACCCAACTGAATCTCTAATTAATGCAGAACAATTTGGAGGTGGCCTGTGTTATGTCATGCGCGTTGAACTCTTTTCTGGTCGAAAATATCTAAAAATATTTGGATACGACATGACATGTATTGTGCTAGGATTGCACTCTAACAATCGAGGCAGTAAGAATCGACTGATAACATAGCTCACAAGCCGACCTTGTTGTGCCTAAACATTACGTACGATCTCATTTTTACGCTTAATACAAACTCCTTTATTAATTGTACAATTGTATTTATTAAAGGTTGAACCCCAACTTTAAGGGTCCCCCATCGCCCCTGCCTTGGAGTATCGTGAAGGAGGTAAATTGTAGGTTATGCCTCCAATGGTACAGGGTAGAAGGCTGCTTGTACACTTGCACTTATCCAAGAGCAAAATTCATATTTCAGGATTATTGTACAATTGTATTTATTAATAGATATTGAGGTGACATGTATTTTAGCCTTTAATTTAAATTTATCTGTACAATTAGTTAAATTGTTGTAACTAAGGGCACATCAATAATTTTTTAGGGCATTTTCAATTAAAATTACCATGCTTGTCCTAAATGTTTATAAATATATTTAGTCTAATCATTTTTTCAAATTATTTTGCATGTAAATTCAAATTTTTTTTTTTTAACTATACATTTTCCAAAAAAGTCATTATTTCGAAACTCATTTCTTCAAAAATTCTGTTTGATGGATATCAAACAAGGGCTTAAATGCGGAAATAAGGATGTGTTTAATTGCGAACATATAATTTATCTGAAAAGATTATGAATTGCCTAGAAATTATTTGCATGAAAATTATCACATTTAATTCTGTTTGATTGATTTTATTTTCATTCTTAAAAATCTTATATTGTCCATTACAAAAAGAAAAAAAAAGTTGAACCCTAACCTTGAGGGCCCCCACCGCCCTGCCCCTAAAGCTTTGTAAGGGAGGTAAATCGCGAGATGTGTCCCAACAGGTCAGAAAATAAGAGTTGCCTGTATACTGCGCTTACAAGGAGTCCAATTCCATGTTTCAAGAATCGAACCCTCACACTGCGACTGTAAGCAAGGCGTGAGATAATCTCACTCATATTCTTTACACCATTAGGCTATGCCCCAAGGGACTTATATTGTCCATTTTTTTTATTAGTCGGGTAGATGGGAAAGAGAGAGGATCGACGAGAGAAAAAGAGAGAATGAATTACTTGGAAAATCAAAAATATACTCCTCTTAAAAAAATATTTTCCTTGTTTTCAAAGAAATTATGATCATGTGATCAAAAGTATGAAAATGTTTTTAATGAAAAAAATATCAATCAAATGACACAAAAGTAAAATTTGAATAAAATATCATGAAAAATATTGATAATTAAACGCACTAAAATTTCACCTCAAAAGAATTTATTTATTATTATTATTTTTTAAAATTTTCAAGCAACTATATTAGTTTATTTGGAAGCATTCCACAATCATGTTCAACTTCAAGTTCCACTAGCGGGAAAAATCTCAATCATTTATTTACTTTATAATTTTTGTTAAATATTCTTCTTCTTTTTGTAGTATATTACAATTATTTTGTAATCCAACAATCAAGGACGAATCCAAGATTCGAGTTCAGCTAGGACGAATCGCAAACATTGAACGTTTACTTATCAACAGTCAACATTCGTGATAGCAATGTTATTTATTAATTTTTAATTAAATAATATTCAAAAAATCATACGGACTAGAATTAGAATAACTAGATACACCACTAGAACTAAAATTAGATACGAACTTTCATTTCGAATAAAAAAATCGTTCTATAATCTGTAAAATGCCCTAATTTATTTTTCAATCAAACGGGTAATATATATTAACAAAATGTCAATATTCAGTTTACAATTAAAGTTAATTAGACAAGCATTATTATAGTAACAAATTTGAAATTATTCATGTGCTTTTATCAATTTTATGTGCTTGTGTGATCCCATTTTTCCACAATTAATTTTTTGTGAACAAAAAGTGGAACATTCTATTAATTAAATAGGAAATATATAAGTTTTGTTGAAAGATACTAAGGCCAATTTTTTTACAAATTCATTCATCATTAATTGACCAAATTAAAAAATAATAAAAATCAAGAAGAGGGACAAATCACCGTTTGAAATGTTTTTGTATTTGCATAAAAATTGGTAAAATTGAAAATATATTGCTTTGTTTCACCGAGTGCTAGAAATCAATGATTGTCATGATAGTAAAGCTGTCAATATGCTTAAGTAAGGATAATATGTTTGAATCTCTTTCCTTGTACTTGTTTTGGTAAAAATTGTTGAAATACAAATACAAAAATTAGTAAATTAAACAACGTATTGTTATTGAAGTATGGGAAAAATTCACAATTAAGGTATTAAGTATTGACAATTCAATTCTCATATCTAAAGTTTAGACAATGTAAAAATCAGGTTTTCATTTTTTAATTAAATATATTTATTAATTGAAAATAATAAAGTCACATTTATACCATTAATGGTCACAGGTTCATAATTATAGGTCACAGGTTCATAATTATAGGTCACAAACTTATTTATTGGTCACGTATTATCAAATTAATTTGTTACAAATTATGTCGATATGACAAATGAAAAATTTTGTAAATCACAGTTTATTTAATTGGTCACAGATGAAAAAATTATAGGTTACAGTTTATCTATCGATCATATATTTTCGAATTTGTTGGTCACAATTATCAAATTTTAAGGTCACAGGTTATCCAATAGTCAGTCACAGGGCAAATAGTTGGTCACATTACATACCACCACCGCCACTTTCCACCTTCCTCAACCCGTCACCGCCACCGACACTACCATCACCACCAGTTTCACTACCAACAATAACCACCCATTTCCCCCCGACACAAACCAAAATACAACCACCACCATTGCTCCAACAATAAAAAAAAAAATCACCAACATCACCACTGGGCACAACCCCAACATCGCACCACCACCACCACCATAGCACTAACACTGTCAAAGTTACCGCACACAATACCAGTAACACCATAGCACATACCACCACAAGAAGCGGCGCAGCACATCTTCTTTGCATAGGAAAAGTGATAGCGCAGATATTAACACCTCACCTGCGAAACTGTTGCCGCACATCTTCGATCTGAAAAACTACCACCAATACCATCAACACGATCACCATCGTCCACCGCCACCAACACCTCACCTGCAAAACTGGTCGCCGCCACCAAGACCAACACCATCACCATCAACATCGTCCACGGCCACCAACTCCGTCAACATCTTCGCATGCGCACCTTGGGTAGAGATCCTCACATCGGCGTGTTCCAGGGAACCTCTTGCAGAAGATGCCACTTAGGTTATCATCGTGCCTCTTGCAGACAGCGCCGCTCTCTTGCATCGGAGCCGATCTTCTTGCAATGGCGCCGATCATGGGGAGCGGTGAGAGAGGAGAGAGATAGTCTTAACCTAGGGTTTAGAATAAAATTGGGATGAATTGAAATAGGATTGAATTATTTTATATTAATATTAATAATTAAATTAATACTTGAATTCTGCATAAAAAAAACTTTCTTACATCATTTTTGCATTCTGATCTTTAAATGCCTGAAATATTGTAATTTCCCTTGAAGTATTTCAAACCCAGAACCTCCAATTCAATAATTGAAGTGCCAACCAACTAAGCTACTAAAGATGTTTATAAATATAATGAATTATCATATATATAATATAAATATTTTATTTATTATAAAAAAAAAAACTTCTTGACAAATCTAGCACGCAGTATTGCGGGGGCTCTCCAAGTGCTGAATCTGCCCTTACCAACAATATTGTCTAAAGCGCTCAAGAAAAATGTATGGATAAGCTTATTTAGCACCAGTTGTTCTATTAAAAATTATTTTTTCAGTAAATTTTGATGGAAGTTGATCAAATGAGTGATTAAAATTTTTGCTGATTTGAACTTAATTTTCTTTTAACCTTTTAATCGACACCAAACAAGAGCTTAGAAATGCTTCAATAATCCTGTACTGTATAAATCACAACTCATCATCGAATGACTTAACTTGCAATGGCATGTCAAATTCAAGTTATCTTGGAACGACCATAA